AAAAAGACTAGTTGTGGGTCAAGACATGTCAAGACCCTAGCTATGAGGCTGCAATGAGCCTTTGGGATGTTTTTGCTTCATCCATAAAGCCATATAAAGCCGTAATATGCTGACATATATAATAAAGCCTGCCTCTTTTTTATGGCCATGTGGCACATGTTGTTTGTTTTTTTGTTGTAATGGACGTGTGTCCCATTCCCACTTTTTGAGTCAAAAACATCGCAAAAGTTGGCCACCATCATCAACTAGTGGATATACCAAAGACATACTAAGACCTCTATAAAGTCTGTATACTACGTAGTGTATGTATACACATGTATACACGTTTAACCAAGGTGCCAGTTCACCAACAAGTTTAAGTCTTTACAGTAAGCCTACAGGTGCTCTCGTGCGTCGGATCCTGTGCGTACTGACCTTTGCAACCCCAAACGCCTGGGTCACACGTCGCGTGGTCACCGCCCGCGCCGCTGGCGAGTCTTCGAGGTGAATACGAGCCTTTGAGCAGCGTGTTCTCTGCAGAGCTACATCAACTGGTCGCACGAATGCTGGCAGTCGATCCCCATCAGCGACTCAATCTGGCAGATGCCTTGCAGGAAGAGGTGCGTCTTTTGGGGAGCGGAGCGAGAAGGAGCTGCCAAAAGGTGGTTGAAACGGCCAACAGGAGGATATTCAAAGAATTTCACAAATAAATTTCATTGTGCTGAGGTGTGCTGTGTTTTCTGCAGATGTTGAGATTTGCGAGCAAGAAAATTACGTCCTGATCTCGTTTCTTTATGATCAACGTAGAGACAGTCACCGCTTTTGACATACAAAATGTTCCCAGCCTGGAGAAACTCAACTATCTTCCCAATGTCAGCCCGCCCCCCCTTCCAAGGAAACTATGCCAAAACTACCTCTCTTCAGACTCATCCTATCATCACCGAATTGGTCTCGTTCAAGCTCTAAAGAACTCCAAAACCAACGGTTCCGCTCACTTCAGAACCCTTCACCCACACTATAGATTAACAGCGCCCCTTAGTAGACCACCCCACCCCCACCGCGAACGCGTTCGCACGGTGCTTCACACGGAGCGCGGTTTCGCGGGTTGCCGCACGTCGCGGAGGTGCTGGCGGCGCCACTCCGCCGCTCGCGCGAGGCGCTGCAGCTGGGCTTTCCGCCCGACGAGACGCCCGAGCCGCCGCCGATACCGGTGAGGAAGGAGATCCAGGCGAAGACGGACCGAGATGGTGTGAGTTGGTGTTCGTTTGTGTCCTTGTCGTGCCGCTCGTTGGGTGATCGTGCTCTTTTTCACCGGTGAGGGTCCTAAAGGATCTAGAAATACCGCAATAGATCGCAATAGACTGAAGAATTCCTTTAAGTTCTTTTTGGGGGGATCTCTTTTTTTTTGCTGTCCTTCAAGCTGTTGTTTGGTGAGCTTATTTTTCTGAAACGACTGTTTTTTTTCAGGGGACACTGAGTTGCTCGGGCCCAGCGGTCTCCCGATTTGCTGCCAGGAACTGGATTCCGAATGGATTGGTTTTAACACCATGAGCCTCGGCCGCAAGAAACGGATCCCCACGACTGGAGGCAGAAAATGCATCGGATGTAGGGCCTATTAATTATTATAGAGAAGTTGATCAGCCCAGCTCTCTTAGTCTTAGGCTATATCTATATCTATATATATTATATGATATGATTCAGTTTTGCTGAAATTCTATCAGCTTGTTAAGTTTGCTGAGTTGTAAGGACAAACATGCTATTGTCGTGTTTTGCTATGGTTTTGCTCTTCAGCGAACCCAAGCTCGTTGAAAGCAGAACGGACGTGTTTTGAACCTGACACCCACCGAGCAAGCCCAAACGAAGCGACCGCGACCGGGCCTCGGCCGCACAGGATCCGGCGAAAGGAGGACGGATTGATCCTCCCGGAGGCCAAGGAGCGGAGCCGAGCGGAGTGGGAGCCATCACTCCGGTGGGTGGGAGGAATAAGGAGTGAAGGGTGGGTGGCAGGTATTACTGCTGTGGGTCGTAGATCCCGGGGGACCCTGCTCTTTTTTCCCACCCAAGAAATAAACAGAATAGATTGCAAGATATGGTCAACCTACCAGTCATAGGCTGGGGGTGTCCTGGTACCTGTAAACTGTCAGTAAACAAGAACATCACCGTTTGTCCCAGAAAGGCGTGCAACCTAAGCATCATCATCGGTAAGAGGCCAAAGTCATAGGCCAAGGATATACCCGAGTCATATTCATAGGGCCTGGGGCGGAACATGATGGAACATGATCAAACTGGGCACCTGGGCACCATGGAACTGCTGGACATGGCAAGGGTGTGACCTTTGCGATGGCCACATCCCCCCCGACAAGGAAAAAAGCACCCACCCCCGTTGCCACCTTGTTTAGAAAGGAACACAATTAAAGAGGACCAACCAGACCACCAGACCACCCGTTACCACCAACCTATGGGTCCGGTTATGTCGCTATACATCCATTCCTCGCATCTTCACCCCGCATTCTCCAGCCACTGACCAGCCGCATCCATGGAGGGCATCGTCGACCTGAGCGTGGCCAAAGCGCCGCCCCCGCGTCCGGACGAGGGTCCTGAAGAGTGGAGTCGAGCGCCTGCAGCGCCGGAACATCCCGACTCCGGCCGCTGGGAGCACCACGCACGTCTACGCGTCGAGACGTCAGTGTGGTGGGAAACAGGTGGGGAAAGGCACCGGAAGCAACTGGAAGTAAGTCTGGGCTTGTGTTCTGCATTGTATATTTTTTCAGGTGTTTTCTTGGTTTGGGAGTGGGTGGAGGTGATTTTCTCTAGGTGTTGGGAGATGTTGGGAGTGTTTGTTTTTTTGTTTTGTTTTGTGTGTGTTACATCCATTTACTGTAAACGGGGAATGATCAATCAATATAGGGTTTACAATGTCTACAACGTAGCAAGGTTTGACAGCTAGCCATTTGAAGTTGGTTGACTGAGGCTCAAAGGTTTGACCTGTACACACTGCTTTATGAATTCGCCATGCAGGATTCTATCTCTTTCTTTGTACACCTGCAAGCTCAGGAACGACTCCTTGTCGATCATTGATTTCCCACAACTTTCTCGACGGTTTTATTTGAGTCCCGCTGTGCAAAGGGCCGTTCACCATCCGACTCGAAGGATTGCCAGACTTCTTCAGGGTTGGGTAAAAAGAAACATACACTCCCTGGAAGAATCATAGAAGTGGACATCCACCTGTTTGTAGAGAATGGTCATCCTTTCGGGAGAATGCCATCCACGTAACCAGCATGGATGGATCTCCAGGGTAGACATACGACATACCAAGCCCGGATCCACTTGCCAACTGGTCACCCGTGGTTCCAGTTCGACTCCAAAACCGATCCCCCAAAACCAGTTCGGCCCCTGGTTCCACTACGTAGTGGCTTCTTCACTTTTTTCTGGGCATCTCCTCCACTCCGCTGTCCTCTCCCACCGAAGGAGAGGAATTGGGCTCCGCCTCCGACGACTCCTGGGGCTCGGTGGTAGACACCGGTACCTTGGACTGAACGAACCGGTGAGAAGAAGCGGGGGGAAGAAGAGGGAGCGGAAGTCATGACCTGGGCGGCACCCGATTTTGGGGGTGGACGTCCAGGATTTGAGTCGATGATCCGCAAAGATTCAGAATCTGAATCCACACTGAACCATGCATGTCAATGCAGATACCACGGGATGATGTTGCCCTCCATGCACCGGTGTTCTTTGTGTTAGTTTTTCTTTTTTTTCTGAAAATGACTGAGATCCCATGGTGACCTGGGCGTTGAGGTTTTGACCCACAGCCACAATTCATTAATATAGAGTGGTTTTACTGCATTGTTCACTTGAGTTGTCAAGGAGAAGTGTAGCAGCCACCCCCAGTCCACAGTACACAAAAAAGAATCGGACATTGGAACCCTTCACACCAAAAGAATCCAAACAATACCCAGACGCTCCATGTATGCCATATATGCCTACATTGGGGTGGTTTGGGGGGTCAATGTAGGCATATATGGCATACATGGAGTGTATGGGATATATTATCAATGTGACCATTTTCGTCGACTTCTTACGTGTTCCGCCGTTCTCCGAAGGCAACGATGCCCTTCAGCAACTCATGGCGCCCGGAGCGCCGAGACCCAACGAGGACGCGCCGCGGCCGCCGCCGCTGCCTCCACCGCCACGTCCTTAGGCGGAAGGAGGCCGATCTTGGGAAGAAGAGCACAACCTGCACCATCCTGTCTCATTTTTCCTGGCTGGAGATCCCGGATAGTAGTGCGTAGTCCAGCCAGGACACCCAGACAGGATGGTGCTGAAAGGAATGGTGTATGAATATGAGTCATGTATGAGGACCGACCTAACAAAACAGAATTGAGCAGCAATCCTCCAACAGCTCACCACGTGTCACGTTCCAAGTCTCCAAAAGCCATCAGATCGAGTAGACCTGGATAGGTCCTGGTATATGGATAGGTCCAGATCAAAGTCTTTCCGGTCACAAGCTGCCGCTTGGTATGGCAAGCCGAGAGAGGGTCTTATTTTAGCCATCCTGTCGATGATTTCTGGGGCAACCCTGTGATTGTAGCCATCATGCCGCTAGCTCCAGAGTTCATCATCATCTTTTGTATCCTTTTACCGTCTCCATCCATTTCCCCGATCGATGACCGGTTCTCCTCCGTCTCCCCACGAGTCTCCTCCGGCGTGGACGCTGCAGGATCAGATGTTGGATGCGAATGCCAACAAAACGTGCGATCGCAGATGGGGATGTCAGGGAGAAGAGACTTCAAGATGGGCGTTTGTTGGAACATACCACCACCAGTAACGTCACCATGGATTTGTGTTCATCGTTTGTCTTTCTCTTCATTATTCTGAACCAGGGGATGTTCCACTTCCATGTTAGCCAGTCCTCAGTGAGTCTTTGTTGAACCCCAAAGACCTCTGAGATGCCACTGGACTGCCATCCATCTGCCCATGGAGCCACCCGACGACTCCAACGACTGGCTGCACCGGATCCCCCCCCGCAGGTCCTGAGCTCCCCACCTGCCTGGAGCCATGCGTCCTGCGCGGAGGAGGGACGACGAGGGTGAGAGACGTGAAAGTGATGGCACACATGGGGCGTACTGTGGGGCGTACTGTGGGGCTTTGGGGCTTTGGCTGGCAGTTGATCTTTTGTTGGAGTTGGTCGAGTTGGTGAACTTTTGGCTGGGAGTTGTTCTGAACTTTGGTCGAGTTGGTGAACTCATTTGTTTTTGGTATATTTCTTTTGTTTGGCCACCCCCAAATTACACCAACCACGCCCTTTTGGGAAAAACGGTCTACGTACTGAGTACAGATTTCCGACTTGAATTCGCTCTTGCGGGGTCGGTGGAGTTCCAACCTGGTCTTCCAAAAAAAATACATGGCCTCCCCAGAAGCTTAACCCCACAGAGTAAGGGAGTTTACCCTGCAAACAATCCCAAAGAGTTTTCCCTGCTTCGACCATACAATGAGTGGTGTTTGTTTTTCATGTGTGGTGTCCCATGTATCCATAATAGTAGGAATCCATCCTTGGATTGGGTTTAACACTTAAGATCTATGTGTTCCATCCATCAGCGTGGCTAAACTCCGCCTGGCTAAAAGCCTTCACCGTCTGTGTCAGGACTGCTTGGTGAAGCTGTTAAGCTCCAAACCCGAGAGGCCAGTCCTCGCCTCACCGGCGCGACGTGAACCCCGCAGTGCATGTGGCGCGTGACCGCCTGTGCACGCCTGCGCAGCGTGTGTTCACCGCCGCAAGCGATGCCGCCAAAGCCATCGGAGGTTGTGATGAAATCCAAAAGAAAAGCGTCACAGAACCACAGGTTTGGTCCAGATACTGATCATGTTCATGCATTTTCCCAGTCAGTTTGGCTGGTACCAGGTCACAGTGGATTAGATGGCCCGCCTGGTTTGGGGTCCAGCATGTGGCCACCACAACATGGGATCGGCAAAATGATAATTTCTTGTTTTTCCTTGGCGGAACTGGTTTATCGCAGCAGCTTTCATTGCGTGACGCAAGTATAGGTGTTGTAAGTGTCAGAATCTTGCCAGGTGGATGATCCTTCTCACCACTTTCTTTGCAATTACGCTGTTAAAACAACCTCACGACTAGTGATTTCATTTGATATCCCTGATATCCCTGTCTACATTGCCTGCTTTTTTTCTTTGTTCCCAAGTTTGGAGTTTTGTTCGGTACGTGGGTCTCCAGAGAGAGGTCTCCAATGAGCCTGGAAATTGTGCACGAGGCTGGGCCAAGGGGGAGAGCTTGGGGTGTTTCTGTGGAAGGTTCTTGGAAGGCTTTGACAGGGAGATGTGTTTTTGGTTCAACTTGGACACAGGCAGCAGCGTGGATACATTTTTATTTGTATGTCGCACGTATGTCGCCTCCTTACCAGGCTTGAGAAAAAGATAATGTATTTTTTTGTTATGAAGAAACCACACAAGAACAAACGTGAACAGCAAATCAGGAATAGAAACAAAGGTGGTGAAAAAAGAACACATTAAAATACACTTTCACTTGGGGATCATATCTGGTACAAAGATCAGTCTGGATGAACTGAGCTGGACAAAAACACACTAGGAAAATACACACTTGGAAAAGGAACATGAAACCACAAGACCACAAGAACCCTAGGGATCCAGTCGTACATTCTCAGAAGGCACGACTGGACCCTCTACAGCCACCCCAGTCCAACCTTTTGAGAAGGTACTTGGATCCCTAGGGAAACCGGATCTCCTCCTTGTCCAACTGTTCTTTTCCACACCCAGGAGCTGAGTGGCGAGGCGCGGCTCCTGCCGCGCTTCGCGCTGCGGGGCGCTCTGCCAGACGCGCTGCGGGGGCGCCCGGAACCGCTGAACTGTCCACTAGTGATCTACTAGTTTGGGATGCATTGGGGACCTAAAATCTATCATTTGGATGGTTCAGTTGAATTTTAGGATTATATAGATGTTTGGGACCTCTGAAGTGTTTGCCACCGGGGCGAAGGGTTAGGATGTGGTTTCTCTGTTTTGAACCTGTGGTTATCTGCAGTATACCGTGCTTTAGCAATGGTTTAGGCCAAGGCGCCATCAGATGAAGGACATTTATTTTACTTTGGTGACAAGGCTTTGCAATGACCAGTCGGTTGATTGGCAATGATTTGGCGATGCTGATAGTTGAAATGGTTGTCAAAGGTGCTGGCCGTGGATTTGAGAAATTGGACTTAACACATCAAGTTGAGAAGTGTTCAACGTTACAGTCCCAGACTAATTTAGGTACATGCGCCTTTGTAAGTGGGCCCGGAAGCCTCTGAGGCCTTCCTACCCTTCTGCCCGGATTCAATCGGGCGTTGTAGGCCTTGCCTCTAGGATATTTCGGGAGGTACACATTTTAGATGCCAGACAGTCTCTTCAGCCGTGTACTGAGTACAATGCATGCCTAAATCCAGTGGATTCCCTTGTAGAACTGGCGGCCACAGCTTCTTGCCACCCACGTTTTCACACGCCCACGTGTCGCCTTGCGTATCACGCGACTGATTTTTCCCAACCACCCCGTTGCGCTGAGGTTAGAGCTTTACGACTTCTGGCGTGGCAACGATCGTTTGGTTGGGCGACTGCAAGCAAGGCGAAGGTGGGCAGTGCTCTGGAGGGTCATGAAGGGCGAGCCGGAGACTCACCGCGTCAAGCGAAAACCGAAGTTCCAAGACGCCCGGAGACCAAAACGCAGACAGACTCCAACGCCTGCCGCGTTTGCGGTCGGGGGCGCCAGGAACGAAGGGCTGCACGCCACGTGCCTCGTGGTCCACTTGTCCGGGGGCCGTGCGAGTGTCGAGTCGAAGCGTTGGTGGTTCAGCCGGTGTGCTCGGCTTCACTCTGCTGGATCTTCCAGAGTCTCACAAAGGGCCAAAAAGGGGAGTCGGCAGTGAAATCCATGTTCAAGAAAGCCAGGATGACTGCTATGGAAGACATGATGACAGATGCTAGAGGACTAGGTTTTAGATAGGGGTCTTGCTGGTTGGTTCAACATTGATGGCCGAAGTTCAGTCGAACCGAGCAAATTTGTATACGCAAGTACCCCCAAAACAACATATGTTGGACTGCATACCAGATGCACATGCATCCTGATTCATGCTGCACTGAATAGATTCTTGCAATTTAGGCTCAGAGCGTAAATCATCAATATGAGGTGCCAAAAAGAACCTCCAACTGCCAAGCGTATTAAGTTCCTTGTGAAAGCCTTCGTTTCACAAAGCTCAATACCAGCAGATGGTGGACCCTTGTTTTACTCCCTGGATCTTGCATGTCAACTCCCAGCATCAATAAAACTGCATGGGCACAATCAACGTATTCGATCAGGAGCTCATTGAAAAATGACGCTATATAGACACAAGACACTATATATGAATTTTGAGAAACTGGATCAAAAGGCATCAAGGCTGCGTCAACAAGTGGTTCTTCAGGACAATCAGACCAGAGGACTTTGCTGGATAATGTTGGACCTTTAAAATCCGTTAAAAGCCTAAGTGCCCACGTTCAATAGATTTAAATTCAATAGACTAAGGCCTTTAACGTAAGTTCAATTGATTTAAGTCATTTGCCCTTTTGTTTGTTCTCTACCTGGTTACCTTGTTTGAAAAACCGCCTAGGACTGGAGCGGTGCCTGGAACGAAGGCCCACGTGCAACGCTTGACCTTGGAAGCCACCCGGACCGGCTCGGCGCTAACGGCACCAACGCGTCCGGTCCAGGGGCAGTCTACAGAGGTGGTCAGTGACCGTACCGAGCTGGGAAAGCCTAGTTTGGGTTCTTCAACTGTTGGAAACCCAGCAATGGGTTGATGTTCCGTTTTCTGGAGTCCATCCGAACCTGCACTACCCGTTGGGGAAGTTCATGGACCAAGCTACTTGGGGATACTTGGGGTCATTTGAAGCCATACCTTCATTGCTGGGATTGGGGGTGACGAATCCTTTAGAACAGCTGCTCGGCTATAATGGCCACGTGTGTTCCCCGCGAGCGGGACAAGTATGTTTATATGGTCAACACATACACACATGTTGTGCAGCGTCCACTTGGAAACATCCTGAAGCATCATAAGCAGGAGAGACTACTCAGAGACTACCCTAACCTAGTACATTCGGACTCTACTCGTACCATTGGCCTTTCCTGGTCTGTGGCCCGTGAGCAAACAATAGACTCGAACAGACTTGCTCAGCCTGAAATTGGAGAACAATTGCTACTTATAGACCTATAAACACTTGACAAGGCTTGTGCCACAATCATGTTGTTCCATGTCCAGGACCAGCCCACCACCTGGCCCACCATCTCCTGTGCGGAGCCGCTCCGCTCCCTTCGAGCAAAAAGGAACGACGGAAGACGCGCGCGACGACGGTGCACGCGACGACCGCGCGACGGCGTCGTCCGGCAGGAAGGATGAAGAGAAACAGCTGGACGAGTTGATGTTCGTTGGGAGCCCCGAGCTAGCTAAGAGCGGCGCAGCGAACGCGCCAGAGCTGCTCGCGCGAGCGAGCACATCAGTTTGGTTCTGGTCTTCTTGGGTGGCAAGCTGTTTCATTTGGATTCTTCATAAGGCAAAATAGATGCGATTTGCACATGCAATTGACGATGGCTTGTGTGTGTGTCCCAGACCATTTGCACTCATTTCCTTCCCCTGAATCTACTGACTGTTAGGAACGAAGGACCAAGAGCAGATTCATTGCAAACTTGTTTCAACATGTCAATTCCCATACACTCCATGTATGGAATATATGCCTACATTGACTCCCCTGGCACCATCCTAATGTAGGCATATATGGCAGTCCCATGGAACGTGTAGGAATGAGAAACTTTACAAGGCTATACCGTGCCTGGCATGTCACTGGGGCCGCTTTCACGATTTCACATTCTCACAAGGCGAATTCGGTGCTCTGATCAAATTTGATCAATGCTCAGCATATCTCAGCATAACATGGTGACACTGGTGGAGATTTTGGAGCCTTAATGTAGAATCTTGATGGTTAAAGGCCAACTGCCAAACATGCATTAGTGTCAACACCAGGATACCTTGGACCTACTAGGTGTCGGTCGTTCGCGGCAAAATGGTGGACTGGTCGGGCTGCTCCGGTGGGTCACGGAGTGTCAAAGGCGCGATCGAGCAACATGGTGCAGGGCGCCGGGCAGCCTGGGTCGTGGGAGGGAGAAGGAAGAGCCACCGTCGGTGGGTGCTTTAGAAGGTGATGTCCTTTGCATTGAAGCCAAAGCCAAGGGTGATGTATTTTGTTGAAATTCGCGTGGTGGGTGCCATTGCTTTCGGTGCCATATATTTGCTCGAAAGCACCATGGGCGCCACCGTCGTTGGTGAACAGAAGCTGTGAAGGATGACTTTTGGAAAAGAACCCAACTGGGAGTCTCCTCCATTGTGCCACACAGGAAACCTTGGTGGACTTGCTGCGAGCCAAACCCAAGAGCCAGACATGGCAGGCGCGATCTGGTGAAGAGATCTGGGGCAAATCAGCAAGAGTTGGAAAGAAATGGATTGATTCGAACGTTTGATATTCAATTATAGGTTTGGGTTGTTCATTTCTGTTTCATTTGGTCTTCATCCCTTATGTCTTGACACCGTATTGATGGAGAAATCCCAGCCCACCTCCACCGGGTGACAGGGAATCGAAGTCCGTTTCGCAAGGTTTTTGTTGAATGTGTTCAATCACAGACACTGTGTCATGGAATGCGACCAACAGCCAACAAAACATCGTTGGACAGTGTATAGAGTCGAGGTGTTAAAACCTCTCAATGTTCTATTGCATGCTTTATATGTTCGAGATTTGACCAATAGTGCGCAGCTGAATCTTGAAGCATCAGGGTGGCATCACACCTTCAGAACCTCCTTAAGTCTTCACCCTCCAATCGGTCCAGGTGGCACAGTGGTTGCTTCAATTGGAGGACTTGTCGCACATCTTGGCCTGGTCCTCCGCACAGGCGAGTCTGGCGAAACGACACGATTGGACGGTTGGACGGTGTCGACGCAGCGACAAGACTGTCGACTTCCGAATCTAGTGACCTGGTCCTCTCTCGTGTCTTTCCTATGCCTCTCTCGCGGTGCGAACCCTTTTCAGCTCGGTGCGGAAGTTTGGGCACCAGGGAGATGACTGGCTCGACCAGTTTGAAGCTTGGCAAGTGATTTGGGGATGAGCAGAAGACACAACCGAAAGCTCCCGGGCTGCAAAAGAATTCACGTGGTTTTGTTCTTGCAGCCCTCTTTTTTGCAACACACAACAGCGACCACTCGCAGATCTCAACACAGATCTCAACACATTTATCATCATGTACCCTAGGGATCCAAGTACCTTCTCAGAAGGTGTTTGGGGTGGCTGTAGAGGGTCCAAGTGCCTTCTGAGAATGTACTTGGTTCCCTAGGGGTAGTATACATTCATATATTATACATGAATTCTCTTTTCTCCCTTCCACACGGAAGCCCATGGTTTAGGGATCCAATGCCCCTGGTTTTTCGCTCTGCGATGACTGGTCCTCGGGTCCTCGGTGGGTCGAGGTCCTCCGTGGAGAGCTTCAAGATGCGAAGCCGCCAGCCTTGCAGCTGGCCGGGTGACGAGTTGGTTTGAACCGGACCTCGGACGCCAGGCTGCTGGTACTGGGTGTTTCTTGTTGTTTGGAAATGGTTGGACGTTGGATGTGTTTTTTGGGAACTGCACAAGCTACAGGGTATATGTATGAAAGGATATGAAGGTGACATTGACCAATTGATAGGCTTCCGGTTTGGGCAGAGGTTCCGCCAAGACCTTTTGTGGTTTGTGAGTCTAGCTGTGGTTTGTAGCACCAGTTTTTGATGACATTGGCTCAAGCAAGATTTGGCTATAGCACCCTGTGTTCTGCCACGGGCCATGGAGAAGCCAATTTCATCCAGTGTCGTCTTGAAGAGAACTCGGGAAAGGTCATGAAGGGCACGAAGATGAAGGCCATGAAGGTTGACAGTGTTGGCAGTTCGCTGACAGTGAAGGGTAAATAAAGCCAAGGCCAACGCCAGGAAACCGGCGGCCAAGGCGGAGAAAGATCCCAAAGAGGAGGCCATTTGGATGTGCCAGCAGCTTTCGGATGGAAAGTTAAATCCTGAAAGTCTTAAGCGAGGCTATGTACTTCTTAGGAATGCGGCCAACAAATGGGTGAATTTGCCCCAAATTCAGAAGCTCGTGAAAGATTTGAAGCAACCGACTGAGAATTGGTATCACTTGATGTTCGCACATGTGTGCGGCTTCATGATTGATAATCTGATAGCAGTATGCAGTATGCTTGAAGAGGATTGGGTGTACAAGATCCTTTTCTCAGATGAGAAAGACAAGCACTTCTTCTCTTGTGGCGTGGAGCACGGCCATTTCATTAGAGCTGGAGCCGATCAATTCTTGGAGTTCTCGAGAGCCTACAAAGTTAGTGATTTTGAGGCTGCTATCAAGTGTGAATCTTCTCACATGAAGTTGCTGGAAAACTTGTTGGTCAAGTTTGTACACCTGCGAGAGGAGGTAGAAAAAAGAGAGCGCTTGACAACATGTTTCATGAAGGAATGCCAGCTGTTCGTTTCTGCGTTTGTCACTCTCTCAAAACTCTTTAAAACGATGAAGGAATCTAGAACCCCCATCGATTCTAGTCCCGTGACCTGTTCTTCAGACAAGAATCATCCCTGATTTAACCACATGAAAAAACAGAACACCACATGAGGCTTCCAGGTTCCGCAGGTTCAGGGTTCCCACATGGATGACTTCCTAGAAGCTGTGTTCACCTGGGGGTGTGCACAAAAGGGATGCAGGGGGATGAAACTGTCCACTCCCTGTACCTTCAAAACAAGATCCCTTTTGTTGCAAATCCATCATCCATAACAACTTACAACTATATAAATCCTGATTTTATGGGTATTACTTTCTCGGGTGAATTTGCTCCTGGCTCGATGTCGCTGAAACCAAACACGAGTGGCTTCGTCAGCAAGCACTTCGGAAGTTCTTTTCTCCATTCCGGTGCCTAGAATTTGCTCATCGATCGAGAAAAAAACAAAATGCCACTGCAATGCTTATATTCCTCGCCACTGTACCGATTTGTTCAGGTGGAGTTGCCACGCTTGGGCCTCACCTTCCGTGCGCCAGACGAGCGAACCAGCAAGTCGGCGGCTGAGCGCCCGCGCGGGGTTCCCGCCCTGCGCTGCGACCAGTATGGCGGGTTGAAGGCGACGGTGTGGGCGACAGTGGGCGACCGGGGAAAAATGGAGGATCCCAAAGAGTTCCCAAATGTTCCTCATATGTTCCTCGTGTTTTCACACAGAAGTCCCATGATAGGGCTTCCCTTCACCGAGCCTACCCCCCTAGGCAGGGTCTCTCTCTCTCTCTCTTTTGAGTGATCTGGAAAAGGCTTTGAGAGATCATGAGAAGTCCATGAGTAAGTAGGTGAATGAGGCCCAACTCAAGCTCACCTCATGTTGTTCTTGTTCCGCAGCATCAATCACATGCATCAATTTGTCAATTCCAGTTAAACCCGCTGTCAGCAGTGTTGAGTTGTACCAAGGCGGTGCCTCACAGAGTCTAGTAGCAGTTGGTGTTGTTTGTGTTCCATGCCACCCGTGTGGTTGGAAGTGGTGGCATCCGCCTTTGGGTGCTGAACTTCTCATCACCACCTTGGCCATCCTTGGCCTCCTTAGAGCTAGGGACTACTTGGAGCCATGTGACCCTGGCCATCTTTCGGTGCAAGGACGCTACGAACGGGGCTCCTGGCCTTACTACTAGGAACAAGAAGCTACGAACGGGGCTCCTGGCATCGCTACGAACGGAGCTTTTTCATGTTTCGATGCACAACAGCCTGCACCAGAGCTTCGCCGCTTCGCCTCCTCCTCGGTGCAACCGGGGAGGTGCTGGGTGAGCGGAGTGTCCACAACCAGAAGGGCTTGCAGAGGCTGGTCGGTCGGCGTGGAGCGTGGCGGTTGGTGCGGCCGGTGGCGTTGGGGCGGGTGCTGTCACCGGTGACACCTGGTGACACCGTGTCTTTGTTGAGAGTGTCCGGGAATCATGGTGTGAAGGCAAACCCAGTCTAGCCCGAAACGAGTTGTTTGAGAGAACAACTCTTCCCATTGATACCACACCCCTTCAGAACAACAAAGCGATAAGGATCCAAAAGGCAGCTCACCATGGCAAGGTCACACCTTGGTGAGAGGCTGAAACCTTAGTGTGCAAGCATTTTTAAGAGTGTTCCTGGCAAAATCTGACACGTTTTTGAGTGAAAACGCCTTGCTTCGCACAAGAGCGAAACCCACCAAGAGAGACCTCTCGGAACGAGCAAGCAGGTGTGCAACAATCACACCAGAAGAAACGTGAACTGTTCTAGTATAGTTATAGAATCTAACAACGCGCCTCGGGAAACACGAAGCGTTGCAATCAAAGCCCCCGGTGTTCACGGCCAAAGACACAGCGCCACTGCAATGTTTTGTGACCCTTAAAGTGTCGTATACAATTTCCAGGGTCCAACTACCTCTGTGAGGTTCGGTGGTTGGGTGGGTTTTGGGAGTCTAGTCACCTTCTAAGAATATGGTTTCGGTGACAGCCTAGGGGAACGTTCATCCATTTTGCATCCAGGCCAATTCACCCTATATAGCCGCTGAATGCCGCTGATGTAAAGTATAAGACTATGCAAGACTCAATTGTTCCTCATAGTTGTTTAGAGGGACCTGGGCCAACGTGTCAAACTTATCAATGTTCATTTAGGATCGTCCAGTCATTCAACCCTGATCACTATGTATGGAACAAGCCCAAACCAACCCACGCAGTCCGCACGGACTACCCTTTTTCTGGTGTACCTACCAACAACAACATGGTCTTTCCATGTTTTTTTCCCTATAGTCAGATGCACATGGGTTCTCTAAATACAAACCCTTTGTGAGAACAAAAACATTAATTTCACGGGTTCCCTCTAAATGCAACCCCTTTTCTCCAGCAAAAAAGCAACATCGTCTGGCTTTTTGAGAGGCTGATCAAGCCCTTCCCACGCTTCGTGCTTTTGGAGGAGAAAATCGTTTTCAAACTCGTCGCTCGGAGAATCGGGATGTTGCTTGGAACAGAACGCGCATCGACCCAGGCAGCGACCTTCGAACCGTTTTGGGGATTGGGAAACACCCACCGAACAGGTACGAACAGGTGTCAAAAAGGTCTAAGGTTCACCTTGTTTTTCCTGGCAAAGATGGAGTATAGAGTTGATGTTTCAGACAGTGTCAGTGTGGACGACGTCTATACGTTTGAGTCTACACTTGGAAAGAAAACGCCATATAGGTCAGACATGCTTTTCTGTCCAAATCTGTGACCAAATCCTTCGCCAACGTTGAAGGAGTCACAGTTGAGCAGCGTTCAATATCTTAAGCCTCCGGTCCTAAAACCCGCCCGAGAGGCTGAACATTTTTGGAAGGTTCTGTGTGAGAAATCTAGCCCGTGAATTCTTCACACTATAGCTTCGGTTTGCAACAGTTGACCTCTGTGATGTGTGGCAGCCGTGGCTTGAGGTTCATCCCAGACACTTGATGCGATAGTTGCATGGCATTTTTGACCTGGTCACGGTTTTTTCGGAGTTATTCTGTGATTTCGGACTGCAAACAGTCCCATTTCCGCCCAGTTCCAGCTGATCATGGCCCATCGCATGGCGTCGGCCTGTCGGACCCAGAAGAAACCGAGAAACCGAGCCGAGCCAAAGCGGCACATGCCTGGAACCGAGCCGGAACCACAGATTGACACAAACCACCTTCAGTACGTGACCTCGAATTGGAGTCTGTAAGTGACCCTCTTCAGGGACGACTAAGTCACCTCTTCCACTGGGATCTCAAGTTCGGTCACGAACTGAAGCTCCTGGAATATCCCCACGACCTGTCTGGGACTGCCATAGGACTGCCGAGAAACGGCCAGGGGTGGTTTTGGGGGTCAATGGGGCGGCATATATGGCAGTCCCATGGGTCGTGTCTGGGTATAGCAATCATGGCATTTTGTGACCGAAAAAATATGTTTCCTCTGCGTTTGCGTTTGGTTTTTGGAGGGTTCGCTGCGAACATGGTAGGACGAGGTGGGAGATCTCTTCCTCTTGGCTTCCTTGGCGGAGCGCCCACGGAGGTCGACACAGGCAGGGTATGGCAGGGGAGGCGGACGGAAGAAGGAGGGGAGGCGGAGGGGAGGGTGTTTTGGGATGCACAAATGGGAAGAATGGGAAGTCTGTTTGGGGAGAAGTCTCTTCATTTTTTGTTCTTTGAAGTGGACAGCCCACGGCTTTTCCATGCTTTGCCCTCCGGGCCCCTATTTGGGCCCCTATCTAGAGGACGTGGAATATTGGCACTTTGGGATGAGTTTGGTGATCCTTTTCGTTGAGTTTGTTTTTTTGGGGAACATACTTATATATAACATACTACTAACATTCTGGCTTAGCCAGTGGGTCAAGGGATCCATACAGCACATGTACGACTATATAGGGGATTAGTGTTTGCTGTCAAAGAATTTAAGGGAGTTCTTATGTGGCAAGGTTTAGGGTTTAGGGGGTCTCAAGACACGACCTGGCAGAGAAACCGTGGCTGAAGCGAAGACACTATATAAGTTGATCTATAAGTCTAAGTGTACAAGCTCATTTGGGGTGGGGATTTCACCATGTTAAGGATATACCAGATGGGACGCGGCGCTCCGGGGCCAGGGCCTCGAGTGGATCCGGGGCGATTCCTCCTGGCTGTCGAAGCTTCGTTTGGAACAGAGGCCGCCGCAGGGACTGAGGGGTGCTGCTGGAGTTTGCTTTATTCTTCACTATGGATGGATGGAAATCTGGAGCAAAACTTCAGCTGGAACCTATGGAGTCCCTTGATGGACAACATTCTGCATCACTTTGCAGCCAAGGAACGTTGCTTTTTTGTGAGTGGGGATGCAACATGATGCCACCATTCACCACTTGCCCACTTCTATGAACACAGATTCCTCAAATTGGTCTCGGTCCCCAAGCAAGCTGAGCCGAATCTCAAGTCGTTATTCCTTTTTGATTCCCTTTTGCATCACTTTTCACGGCCCCATACTTCTGCCTATTTGCATGCCTCCCGATCAAGTCATGAATGTCCACGACTGGTGCGACGAAAGTAGGGAAGTTTCGCCCCCCTACTTAAAGATTCCATTGGATCCCAGCCACCCTCATTCCCTACTAAGCACAAGGCCCCGAAAGCCAAAGAAAACCAAACCCGGCGGCCATAAAGCCCTCCCATTGGCCCAGGCCTTAAAGCCCCATCCTCCGTTGCTCGCTTGGTTGGAGGCACCAGCTCTATCGGATCTTCGTCAATGAGATCCTGGTGGCACCCAATGTTCTGGCGGAGTCACTCGTTTTTTTTCAGATGGTGAGTTGGATGAGTGGACAACCTGTTTGTGAACTGGACGAGCAAGGTGGTGCGCTTGAGATGGTGCGACTACCTTTTGCGCGCAAACGCGCGTTCCATCGGTGTTCGATGGGGACCGAGACTCGTCGAGATGTCCGTCCACTTGGACTGATTTGGACACCGGTTCTTCCTTTCGCCCGTGAAGATGAAAAGCCGTTTTTTCCACTCCCGGAAGTGGAAACTCACCTGTGGGTACTAGTATTGTGTAGAGGCAAATGGCCATTGGGCAGGGCCATTGTCCGCTTCCATGATTGTTCCAAAAAAGTGTATCCCATACACTCCATGGGACTGCCATGTATGATATATTATGCCAATCAGTTGGGGTGGTTTGAGGGATCAATGTAGGCAAATATTCCATACATGGAGTGTATGACTATTATTTGTCAGACTTTGTCAGTCTATGAGTCTACGATGTCATCCATCCGCTGCGAGAGCGCCCAAGGTTGCATTTGATGCTCCTTCGCGTTGCCCAGGGCATGTTTGGCCAGCCTCCTAGTGCTTGATTGCGCGCAATCCATTTGCTTGGGGAGGTTCGACCACCTGCAAGCTCTTCTGGCTTCTTCAGAGGCTTCTTCATCTTGTTCAAGTGATGCATCCAGCAGTGATGCAACATCACCCATGTTGCCTCATCGGTCGGCACCTGGACGGTCGTGACCCGTGATCATCAAGGACCCCCAAAGGAGCCACCAGGCTGAGCAGCACCCGGAGTTTCCTCAACCCAAAGAACACTGCGACATGTGTTCTTCAGGCATTCAGAGACTCAAGGAATCTCCAGGATATGAAATGTTTCAGGGCCTGACACATGTTGACTCCTTTTTGAGGTTGTTTGCTGTTGACTGCTTAGAAGACCATGTTCCTCTACAAACAGGTGGTTGTCCACTTCCATGTTAATTCACAGGTTGAGAGTCCCAGCATCTCCACCCCATAATGCCATAGATTGAGGGGTGGTCTTCTTGGATCTTCATCAGCCCAACTTAGGTGACGCTTGCTCTTCTGTTGCAGCCTGCCATGAGCCTGGATTCAGTCACAGCTTTTGTGTGCTCGTATTGCCAAGTGCTGTATGGCCATGACATGATGCCTTTTCAAAGGAGGGTACCATCTACCCACGAGGACGGGGCATAGGCAAAGGAACTCTACCCACCAGTAAGGGGCATCGGCAAAGGAACAAACCTAGCGCGACTTGCGATCCTAGTCTGTCACCCCAATTGGCAGATATTGGCAGGTCTCGGGCCAAACGCTTGCAGGACAAACCATGAACACCGGAAACGCCTATCGCAGGACGCCCGACGCTTGGGGTGGTCAATGCCCCAAGGAAACTCTAAGGGTCCAATGAAGTTGGAACCTCCCTAGTCTGTCACCCTGGTAGACCAGCAGTTCCATTGGAGGGTGCCGAGTTCAAACAAAGAACGTCGGGGTGCACGTCACATCTACGGCCCCTGGATGGGACTGAAAACCAATTCCTGCTGGAGCTGCTGGATGGTTCTTCTCTTTGTTCTGCAGCGGAAAAACGGCGCTCACCAGCTCTTTGCTTCTCTTCCCGAGGCACTGCCTCCACGCTGCCGCAGCCGCCCGAGGAGCCCCACGGCCGAGTCGCAGTGGGGAAGGTTTCGGCCACGAGGCGCCAAGCGTTTTCGGGTTCGGCCCCGATGTCCCCTGAGCAGCTCTTGGGGAGCGGACCACGCCTGGGGCGCCTGGGGCCTGGCACTTACATCTTATATCGAAGGAATTCAATTGTGAGGCCCCTGAGAATGGGCCAGAGAATGGTTTGTTTCAGGTCAAACAACGGTAGACCATGGATGACCATGGCATGTGTTTGAGTCACTCATTTTGTCACTGGTGTATTTTTAGGGCAAACTCGTTGCCTTGTGAAAGAAACCAATTTGGTGGATTTCAAGGATTCCAGGACCTTTCTTGTGAGCGTATGCAGTCACCATGTTTTCCGATCCCAGTCATTTGCTTTTGAATGGGGTGTTGTTTCCTCCCTTTGCCTTTGCGGTGTCCACCAAGCTGCGTTCCACCAACGCGTCCAAGACGTTCGCATCCATTCGCTCGGTTCTCTGACGCCTTCAGCGTTGGGTCGCTGGTGTTCTTTTCGTCCAAGGTCCTTACTCTGGGAAGAGATGACATCAATGCTACAAGGCATCCAGTGATTTGAGTGGATCGGATGCTTGATGCAGAACAGGATGGTTGACACCTACGAAAGAGCAGGGGAGTTGCTGGGTTGTGTTGATCGATTTGCTGGGTGACATGAATATTGTATAGTAGTTTGACATTGATGAAATTCTAACTTGCATTTTCCCAACAAGATTTCGACTTATGGCACCCAGTTCTTTCGATTATCGACTTCCACATGGTCCTTGTTGCTGAGTTCAAACTCGACAACAAAAGAACGATAACAAAAGAACGATAACTTCCATTTAACATCCAGTTGTTTCAATCATTCTTTATTGGCACCAACAACTCCGTCCAAATCGCTTAGCTGGATAAATCCCAACTTGGAATGTGTCCTTTGGAAGGATTTTGAGTGTTTTTCTTGGCATGTTCTACCCCCTAATCGGTGGAACTTGCCCCCCCCCTGATCCGTCAGAGGAAGTTTCTATCCAAAGATGACAGAAATTTATAGAACTTGTATATACGCCCTGGAAGATTAACATGGAACCCGACAACCACCGGGTTGTAGAGGAAAATACTCTTCCGAAGGTCCATTTTCAGGTTCCATGTTAATCTTCCGGGGTGTACTATCCCGTACAGGCAATTAGAATGCAACAATTATAAGGATGTAGGCGGTATAGAATGTGTAAGTGTAACTCCGAGACTCGATGGACTTACTGTAGAACTTACCACAAGGTATATTGAATACATAGACCTGTAGAACAAGAGCGATATATCTTTAGATTCTCAATGATGATCTTTTTTTGTGATCAAGTGATATTGTAGTACCCCCCCATGCTTTGGGGATCTACCTTCTTATGAAAAGAAATTGACCTTACTGTAAAAAAACATGTTAAAGAAGAGAAGTTGGATTGAAACCCGAAACCCACTTAGCACACACTTGGCCCCTACAAGCAAAAGTTGGGCACTCACTGCCAGCCCTGTGCCATCCTGGATTGGTCCAGGTGACACGTCGATGGGCGCCACCGTTCTGCGGCTAAAGCTCATTTTGCAGCTCCACCGCCAGGGGCAGGTGGGACCACCGGAGGTTAGACGACTGAGAACAAGCGCGTGGCTGGAGGAACATGGTCAACTATCCTGGGAACGAACCTATCACAGGTCATTCTTTTGTGCTTAAAGCCTTTCGTTGAACATGAAAATCGAGTTTGGATAGAGAGAGGCTCCAGCGTTTTTGCCTGGCATTCACCCGTGGGGGCTTTGAAATATGAACACATGACTAGCAGTTCTGAATGGTTTTGAGTCCCGTGGATTTGCCCGGGGCACCCCTTATCCTTAAAGTTCGGCACCTGGCTGGAAGCCCCGCTTATGGATCTTGATTGGGCTCCGCGAGGTGAGGGATGTCCAGAAGATGATGACATGCTAAAAACGCGTGTCCGTTGGCTTCCTAGAAAACGGATCTGGTTTTGTTTTGCCGGGCTTTTTTCGGCAGATGTTTTCCACCGTAGATGACAAAAAAACAAGTGGATGACTTCACCGTTTCGTTTGCAGCATCTCGTCGGTTGCTGATTTACTCTACTCGGTCACATATTCCCAGACGCTCCATGGGACTGACATATTTACCTACATTGCGGTGGTTTCGGGGGTCAATGTATAGACATGCCATACATGGAGAGTTTGGGATTTGATTCGAGCACCACTGTCCATCGGTCCATGTCCATCCCCAGGCAGTTCATGAAGGCAGTGCCATGGAGTTGGGTACCGAACCGCCCGACCGATCCTCCACATCATCCGGGACCAACCCTTGATCCTCCGTCCCTTCACTGCAGAGCTGACCCGCCGCATGACCCGCTTCTGATCCGCGCGGCCCCACCGAACCGCGCCCCCGCGCCCATGGCCGACGCGCAGGGAGTGCCAGATGGATGGAATCCCGAGGTGCGACCGACCGCGTCGAACGATCGGTCCGATGTTCTGAGTGCCCGGAGCTCGAGAGGAACGAGGAACGACTGGACCGAAAAACGAGAGGGTGCTTTGGCTCGTCTGAACGAAGTCGTGCTGTAGGTATTTGTAGGATTTTGTATAGGCTTATATAGGAATTGTGTGGACGTGGGATTGGGATTTTAAGTTTTTGACGTGGGAGTTGAGGGCCCTCTCAAGATCCTTGTGATGGCGAACAAAAATTGGGTGTTTTCCGCCGCGCAGGGAAGACGAGAGGTCCACATTGTCTGTCAACATTGATGTCAAGGGCCATAGCACAAACTTGGTGGCATGTAGTCTTCACCTTTCCTGGAATCCTACCTCTTTCCTGGTTGTTCGGCTGCCCTGTCGCAGTCCTGGTTCTTCCATCCGCACAGACAGTTCGGCTCCGTTGTCCCAGGCGGACTTCCTCGCTTGGGCGAACTACGGCCAGACTAGCTCAGTAACACCGCGACACAGCGGTGTTTGGATCAGCTGAAGAGTAGCCAGGACCCACGTCCCACTGATCACAGGTATAGTAGGAAAGCACGGTGATAGCTTGTGGTGTTTGTTTTTTTTGTGTGTTTTGGAACATGTTGCAAACAATTGTTTGTAGTAGTAACTTTATCCTAAGCTTCCACTGGGAGTGATCAATAAAATATGCATATGGATATAAGTATTAGGAACACATAGGAAATAGATAGCATCAAAATTATGCAAAACATAGGAATCGAATCAAATCATATTTTGTTATATATTAAACAAAAAAAAACAATATCATAACAAAAAAAATCACATGAAAAAAAAACACATAACAAGTTGAAAAAAAAAATGTGAAAAACTAGGACCAAAAATGGAACCAAAACAGATCCTATGTTTTGTCTGATTTTTTGCACCAGCCTGTCCATTGGGCGCCCACTAAGCTAAACACCATTGGACACAGGAAGTCGGTGAAGCGCCGGCATGACAGAGCATCCACCCTCACTAGCTTCCATGGATTGGTGGCCCATGGTGGCACAACCACATGCACTAACCATGATATAGCACCATGACTTCACTTGTTTCCCAGAGTTTTTTTGCCGCCGTCAAGAAGCGGCAAAGATCCAATCCACTGTCTGGCAATCTTGGCTGCACATTGGGCGAGTGGATGCATGCGGCTTCAACATGTTACAACTCCCCATCTAATGGTGGTGCCGTGTGAGCTTGGCGTTCGGAAAGCGGTCAAAATCCTCATGCGTAAGATGAAGCTGTGCCCATGGCTTAGTTGCTGGAGCACTGGAGTTTTTGTGGCTCAGCATGGCCTCCCGATCAGGTCCAAAGGACTCATGTCTAGAAAAGGATGAAGTCACCAATGTGGAGCAAGCATCCTCATCTGATATGCAGTTTTGTATGATTTCCATTGCAACTGTCAATGGACTTTGTGTAACACTTGGGGTGGTCTCAAAGTAAAGTGGTTGTTGGCCCAAATTCAAATTTCTATCTAAGACGAAATGGTGCTGTGTCCATATCCCCTGGAAGCAAGAAAAGGATTTACTTCAAAGCTATCAAAAGACGGCTCGGTGCTTGTCTGGGTTCAACCCTCCCATCAGCAAACCTTTGTGGATTCAGGTGGGGAGAAGGCGGTCTGTGCAATTGTACCCTGAGTTCATCCCAAGCCCAATAAGCAAGGAGCCCAATGGATGTCTTGGAGTCCTTGCCCCCGGATATGCATCTGGAGTTCCCAAATTTCGACCTAACGATCCTCTGTTGTTCTTCTTTCGTCAGCAGTCTTTCAGATTCTGCCAGGATCAGAACCATTCGATGCTGCCAGCTGTTGACTGAACAAAGTTCAAAAAGGAGAAATCCATCGATCAACACTTGAAAGCCACTCGCTCGCTCACCCACGTACCCACCCACCCACCCACCCACCCACGCACGCACGCACGCACGCACGCACGCACGCACGCACGCACGCACTCACTCACTCACTCACTCACTCACTCACTCACTCATTCACACAAAAACACACACGCAGACAAACCCGGGTTCACATTGGAAGGCCTGTTTTCTTCTTGCGTGGCTTATAAGGGTGTCTATTGGACGCTCCTTACGGAGAGGTGAAAACCAAAAACATCCAAAAACCATTGGACGCCTTTCGGAGGCGGCTGGTATGTTTTTTATTTTTGCTTTCAAAATTTCCAACGCTAAGCTTCATTCAGCTCATACAATCTAAGTATATCTAATTATTAGTTCATCTTGATTATTATAGTTGTTATAGTGATGACCACAGTAGCAGATCCACCATCAAAGACTAAAGGGCTTGCGGCTTGCTCCCAAATGAGTCTGACACGTGACACCCTGCCTTTCTTTGTCTCTGGGAGGGCTGTCGCACACGGGAAACTGAATTAATCAAGTGTGTCGAAAAGATTAGACAATCACCGTGCAACCATCAAAAACGGATGGAAGCAAGGGGTTTAGAATCGGCTTGTAGACGGTATTTGACTGGGTCCAGAAACCACAAGGGCTGGCACGTTTTCGCCATGTCGAGTCCTCACGTGCACTCCCATTCTTCCCATGTTTGATCATGCTTGACCTTAACAAATCGCCGAGATCTTCTCGGGTATCACATTTCAGGTTCAATCGGTCGTCGAAAAAAAAAGATGTTCGGAAAAAGAAACAGGCTTGTCAACCACCACTCCACCATATTGACTGATGTTCAACCCCATGTTGGCAAACCGAGGTTTTGATGCACCCGAGGGAAGGCTCCTTACCTTGGAAGAGGAGTGAAAGAGCGAGCGACAATCGGTCATCGTCGTGTTGTGCGGCGAAATTCCATGGAGGCTGGAGATGGGCGAAGAATCTTGAGCGTTTGCAATCAAAAAAAATAATTTTGGCTCATGCAAGGCTGAGGATGGATTGTTCTATGACTAACTAAGCGAACTGACTGGGACGTTCGGCCTCTTTGGGCACGGCACGGGAGGTCCGAACTTCGTCCATTGTTGTGTTTTTTAAAGTCTTTGTGGGGCTTAGAATGGGTTTAGGTGTTTGGTGTTTTTGGGGGAATAAGCGGGTGAATGGGTTCAGGTGGAGGAATCGAGAGCTATGGATGTGTCTAAACGCTGTCATACAGTACCGACTCAATTTTCCAGCGACAGACAAACCAGTTGGTGAAGGGAGTGGAAGAGCGACTGCCATGGCAACCATGGCAAGCAGAACGACTCAGGTTCCAAGACTTTGCCAACCATACTGCTCTTCGGGAACAAACCATATGTATCTATATGTTGATTTATTTGATGAGTAAGCGGAGGATGCTTGAACCTCGCGTGATGCATGACCTATAGATGGCCGTTTTTGTTGCAGTTACCTCATGCAGTTACCGTCCATGTGGCGAGACTTGGAGGGGTTCCACCGGGTTGTTAAACGGCCTGTGCCCCTGTCACATCCATCCACTGCATGGGACTGCAGCAGTTCTCTTAGTCGGGGTGCAGACCTTTGCAGGGCTATGGGATGTCCCTGGTCTAGACGAGGGAGAACAACCAATTCCTGTTAGAACTGCTGGTGAGAAGAACGAGCACTGATGAGTTCTTTCTCCCAGCGCCACGGCCAGGACGCGGCACTGCTAGACCTACTGGGTGGCAGCCACTAGACCTAGTTGTGGAGCTTGGTTCACTAAACCTGGCCGGAACCGGGGACGACACCCCCAAAAAAAAGTCGTGCTCACCTGTTCCACCTCTATAGAGACCCTGGGTGTAGGAGCCGTGCACTTGACAACCTGAATTCGATTATAGTGACCATCATTAAACACTCTGCCGAACACATCACATGGAAGTGGACCATTGCCGGAAGGCTGCTTTCCTTGACGAACACCTGGGTTTTCCCCCTTCCATGTGATGTGGTCGGCAGAGTGTACACACCACTGATGGAGACACCTGCAGAATCCGGAGAACCCAGCCATGCCCACCCTGTCCGTTTCCGCTTCGGGTCAGGGGATCCTCACCAGTCGCTTTCTGCCTCGTTGGATCGTCACAACCAGCCGTGATTCAGATCCGTGTTGAAGCCAAACAGCAGAATCCCCGGGTGTGTAGCCTCAAAGATCTCGGTTCGGAAAATAGACCAGTCAACCATATGGTCAACCCCTAAAACTACACCCATATGACTATGAGTCATGGCGCCTCCCTCACCAAACTATGGTAGGTTGACATCCCGAACATCGAGACACGTGTCTTTCCTTGGGTCGCTCGGTTTTGGCTCGCCGTTCGCTCACGGTTTTGGCTGAGGCTCCGAGGAGGCACATTGGCAGTGCGGAGCCCGAGGGGGGCAGCGTTGATGCCCCAGGATCGATTTGGAATCGATTTGGATTGGATTCATCTTGAAGGTGCACCAGCCTCAGCCTCCATTGCTGCATCGGCAGCAATTGGGGCATGTCACTCCCCATAAAGAAAGACCAGTGTTTGTACATGTTTGTACCCATTGTGCCATTGTCCACATATTTTTGGGAGCTACTTCAGGATTCAGTGTTTCCAAGCCGGTCAAGTTCTTTGACGTACCAGTAGTCGTCAACAAGCATCAACAGCTGTGGGTCAAGTGGCACAAAAGTGGCTGTGGGTCCCAAGCTGACAGACTCCCTGCAGAAGGGAAGGCTCGCATGGGAGGATTACATATTCTTGAATGCCTGGTGGGTCCGCAAGCAACAAAAGGTAGGTATAGACCCATAGACTGCCATAGACCATCATGTTTGTTGCTTTAGAGTCTTCAGCAGGGGCACAGGGATGACTTTCATGTGAACTGTGTTGAAGACGGAGTTTCGATGGTCTATGAAGACAGTTTTCCAGTTGGAGAGGCTTCCAACCAAAATAGACACCAACTGGAAAACTGTTGGAAGAGGCAATCGGATGATCAGTTAAAGACAGTTTTCCAATGGTCTTGAAAGAGGCTTGCAACCGGATGATCATTACTCAAAATCTGACACCCGCTTTCTTTGGTGATCTACCAAGCCAGGCCAAGTGGATCCCCCGTTGCAGCTAGCTACACGGAAGCCCTCGGTCAGGTGTTGGCTTCTTTTGAAGACCACTGGTTAATTGATCTTATGTTGATTTATTTGGCGTTATTTGCCAAGTTGTCTTGATTCACTGGGCAAGTGATTTGGGTTCTCCACCATGGATTGGCTTCTGCGGAGCCCCGCACTCGCTCGGTGCTCGCTGAGGCTCCGCACTCGCAGCGCGGTGCACCGGCAGTTGCTACAGGTTTCGGCAGTACCTGGGCTTTGCGGACGGGGGGCTTTCCCTCGTAGATCTAACTGATCCAACAGATGGACAGTTCAGTTAAACCTTTATACTGTATACGTGATTTCTGAAGGAAAGGGGTCTGGGGATCGGAGATGTTGGCCAGGTCTAGCGAGTCTAGCTGTTCTTTACCATAGGACCACAGGGTTTTGGACAGTTCTTTCAGGTGCTGCATCATTCCTTGTACACACGCGACCAGTGAGCACACCTGGTCACCTAGGACCTAGGTGTGTTGGGAGCATGTC